CTAGGGCAGAAGACCAACACAGCCCCATATATCACACGATACATAAAACAAAATTCCAGGTGCATTAAGGCGATTACTAAGCAAGGCTGTAGCAGGCACTCTGGGGAAACACATGCAGACCATATATTCAAGTTTCCCCAGAGAAGAGAAAGCCTTTCTAAATGTGACATACAAGTAAATTCCAGGAAGAAATGAGTGACATGCTCAGCCTGGTGAAAATGTAAAACTTGTGCATCAAGGAAGACAGCTAGCAAAGTACAATGACAGCACATAAACCAGACACAAAAATTGCTTACAACACCTTCTAACCAAGAGTTAGCTTCTCGTATATGAAACAGGCCCCTGAGTGAATCCCAGATGAACAAGTGACCGGAAAGACCGGAGACAGGCTGCGGGATCTGTGGCAAGAAAAGACATAGCCCTAGAAGCAGCTCGGCCCTGGATGGTGGAAGGCGGGCGTGGGAGAGTCTTACTGCGCCCCACTTTTACTCAACGGACCCTGTTGAATTTGGAACCATGGATACACCCTGACTCGTTTGGGTTGCTTTTCATTTCTTACATGTTGGAACATTTGTCTTGTCGCATTTAGGACACAAGAAATGATGCCGCCCTTCAGCGGCTTGAGATCAAAAGAGCAGCATTTGTCCAAGGACAAAGCTCAGAAGGCTGGTGAAGAAAGAGGCGTGGGAACAGGCAGGACGGAGGGGGTCAGACGAGTGACGTCCCACTGAGAGGATCTCAGTGAAAGAGATGAGACGTGTGTACGACGTGCTGAGGGGGAAGCTGATGATCTGCTCTGTAAACCGTCACCCACTTCACAATAAATTAAAAAATATATATATAACATGAGGAGCCCTGGTGGCGTAATGGTGAAGTATTGGACTGTGATCTGCAAGGTCAGCAGTTCAAAACCACCAGCCGTTCCACCGGATAAAGACGGAGCTTTCTACTCCAGTAAAGAGCTACAGTCTCAGAAATTCACAGGGGCAGTTCTGCCCTACCCTATAGGGTCGCTATAAGTCAGCGTGGACTCGATGGCAGTGAGTCTGTGTTCGGTTTAAGCTCAGGAGATTAAGAAATAAAATGTTGTAAATCCAGGCACTTTCCCTGGCCTGCCCTCTCCCCGACTTCTCCCTCCCAGGAGAGAGGGCCACCCCTGAAGCTGGTGTTCCTCATTTGCTGTATTTCCACGCACTTTCACTGTTGTGTGGTTGTCTTTTGCACCTTGTCGTTATTGCAGCGTGTTTCATGGTGTATCTTTTCTTGCGTAGTCGTGATGGGGGTATGCTGTGGAGTGGATTCTGACTCAGGCCCCCCCAGAGGATGGAGTTGAGCTGGCCCCCCAGGGGCTTCCTGGGGGCGTGAGTAGATCCCCAGCCTCTTCTCCCCAGAAGCCGGGCCTGCGTTCACGGTAGCAGCCAGGGGCTTGATCCTTCTCCCCACTGAGGCTCTTTTCTTACACAGCTGACTCAGAATAATCCATTGTAAAGGCTGACGTAGATGCAAGTTATTTAAAAGGAGGCATGTTAATGGTGCGCAGTCCATGATAATGGGCACACACACATATATGTTGTTGTTAAGTGGCATCAGGGCAGTTCCGACATCATCCTGCCCCATCCTCACAACTGTCTTTTGCCGGAGCCCATTGTGGCCACCACTGTGTCCATCCATCTTGTCCAGGGCCTTCTTCCTTCGCTGCCCCTCTGCTTTCCCAAGCATGATGTCCTCCTCCAGGGACTAGTGGCACCTGACAACATGACCAAAGTATGTGAGGCAGAGTCTTGGCCTCCTCGCCTCTAAGGAGCATTCCGGCTGCACTTCTTCCACATGTATCTAGATAATACATGTATACATGTATACATACAAAGGGGCTTCAAAAAGTTCATGGGGGATGGGGGGAGATGCAAATCAAAACAACGCTGAGATACCACCTCAGCCCAGCACAGATAGCACAGTTCAAAAAGAGCAGAAACAAAGCCACTGCTGGAGGGGGTGTGGGGGGACGAGCCCCTGCACTGTGCTGGTGGGGCTGCGAGTGAGGATGCCCCCCCGTGGGAAGCGGTGTGGGAGAGGAAGTACTGAATGACTGACAGGCTATTATAGCACTCCGTGGTACATCCCTACAGAAATAAGTAACACCGAAGTAGGAACGGTCCGCACACCGGCGTGCGTCGCGGCGCTACTCACAAAGCAAGAAGATGGAAACCACCCGGATGCCCATCCGAATGGTGAGCAAACTTTGGGACAGACACAGTGAAGCACGACGTATGTATCGCCGAAGAATAACGATGAAGCTGGGGTACACCGCGTGACAGGGATGGACTTAGGAGGGCAGCGCACTGAGTCGAGTTAGTCAAAAGAAAAGAACAAATATTTTGTGAGACCACGGTCCTTAAAAACTGATCGAGAAAAGGCCTCA